CCCACATTTCTAGCTACTCTATTTTTCCTCTATTATATCTACTACATATATTTTTTCTACATAGATTACAACCCCCCCCCCCACACACACGAAGGCTCAGGAATCTGTACATCAATTGATTGAGGGTTGAGAGGCGGGGTGCGTATTTACTGCTAGGTAACAGGAACATCAGGGTAAAAGAAACTCTGCCCATTTTCTTTCTGCCATCACCGGGGATCGAACCCGGACCCTAGGATTACGAGTTCATAGCGCTGTCACTCATCTATCAGGACCCCCCCCCTGTGTGTGTGTGTGTGTGTTTGTGTACTCACCTAGTTGTGCTTGCGGGGGTTGAGCTCTGCTCTTTCGGCCCGCCTCTCAACTGTCAATCAACTGTTTCTACTACTACTTTTTTTTCCAACGTCCCATACACTCACACACCCAGGATGCGGCCCGTGACAGCTGACTAACTCCCAGGTACCTATTTACTGCTAGGTAACAGAGTGGCATAGGGTGAAAGAAACTCTGCCAATCGTTTCTCGCCGGCGCCCGGGATCGAACCCGGGACCACAGGATCACGTGCCTAGCGTCCTGTCCGCTCGGCCGGCCGGCTCCCTCCGCTACGCTGCACGGCCGGTGTGTGTGAGAGCTAACTTAAGTTTGCTCCCTGTAGCTTGGAGCTGGGAGTGTTCGTAAGGTTCCTTCAGTCCATCCTCCTAACATGATGGTACGTGCCCGGATTTGCCTGAATAGTCCTGAGACCCACAATAGCTCTAGTGGCCTCGATGGCGGCTTGTCAAAGGTGTCCCCATTTTCCCTAATGATTATATCCAGGTGGATTTATCCAGGTGGCTTTATCCAGGTGGATTTTAAACTGTAGCAATGTGTTATAGCAACAAGATAGCAAGGGGGGGGGGGCTTGATCTATATATTATGGGAGGATATGTAGGATTGTTCACGTGTATTACATCATATGGGGATGTTTAGAGGTGAATACTGTGCAGCATCCGGACACACACACACACTCAGGTGCTCCGGTGCGTGCTCGTGTGTTGTGCTTGAGACATCCTTCTCCGTGGGTGTGATGGATGGTGGGAGAACATGATGGTAGGGAGGGGGTGTAGGTGGTTGTTGAGGGAGGGGAGGGGGGTGAGAGATGGGAGAGGCGAGGGAGGGGAGGAAGAGGAGGGGGGTGGGGGGGTGAGAGATGGGAGAGGCGAGGGGAAGGGGGGAAGAGGAGGGGGGTGGGGGGGTGAGAGATGGGAGAGGCGAGGGGAGGGGAGGAAGAGGAGGGGGGTGGGGGGTGAGAGATGGGAGAGGCGAGGGGAAGGGGGGAAGAGGAGGGGGGTGGGGGTGAGAGATGGGAGAGGCGAGGGGAAGGGGGAAGAGGAGGGGGGGTGGGGGGTGAGAGATGGGAGAGGCGAGGGGAAGGGGGAGAAGAGGAGGGAAAGGGGAGGGGGGTGAGGGTGAAATTAATGATTCGAGCACGAATCATCTCTATATTTCTTACGTTCATCACCTGAGAAGGAATTTGAACAATTTAAAGTCTCTAAAGTGTATTTTGTGTTCTTTATTATTCGCCTAGTGACACTACGAAGTGTGTTGTGCTGACCCCTGTCAACATGTTCAAAGGCAGAGATGAACATAACCAGATCATTAAGGCAGCGTCTGGGATGCTCTTGGACGCAGGTTCGAATCCTCGTCACGGCCCCTGTGGATTTGTTCATAATCATAACACCAAAGATATTCTAAAAAAAAATCTGAAATAATCGACAGATACAACGACAATTGACGTTTTAAATTGTGTTCTAAGGTGCACTTGGAGCACTTTCTTGCATGCACACCATCGCTGGCATTCTTGCACTCCAACTTTCCATTTGGGCTGGACGGTATAGAGCGACGGTTTCGCTTCATGCAGGGTCGGCGTTCAATTCCTGCCCGCCCACAAATCGTTGGGCACCCTTCCTTCCCTTCTCCCCCCCCGTCCCATCCCAAAGCCTTATCCTGACCTCTTCCAAGTGCTATATAGACGGTAATGGCTTAGCGCTTTTTCCCCCCTGATAGTTCCCTTCCAGCTTTCCTTGTGCACGATCTCTTGCAATAGCCGCATGGCTGCCTGCAATAGCCGCATGGCTGCCTGCAATACCCGCATGGCTGCCTGCAATACCCGCATGGCTGCCTGCAATACCCGCATGGCTGCCTGCAATAGCCGCATGGCTGCCTGCAATAGCCGCATGGCTGCCTGCATTTCTTCCCTCCGCGTGTGATGGCGGCTACTCTTGACTTTCGCTCGAGACAGCATCATCATTGCACCTTAACGCTGCTCACTCAGGCAGCACCTGTGCTATGAAGTGAAGAGCTGGAGACCCACTTCATTCACGGCCTTAATGGCAGAAACTGAGCGGGTACGAATCTCCCACAGGGCTCCTGCTGAGTTTTCTCACTCATTCAACACGTTAATATGATTTCACTGTGGGGTAGATATGGCGGAGTAGGCTCGGGGAACCTATTGTAGCACCTGATTAAAGGTTCAAAGGCGGGGCCCAAGAGCCGTGGCTTATTAACTACAGTTCGAGTAATGCCTCTTAGCTTTCCTCCAATAAAACTGTTTTTTTTAATTATTAAACATCTTAAGAGCTCCAAAGTGCTACAAGGTTTTTTATAATAATAATAACCTTGAGTTGTGAAGCTTTGAAACTAGTGAGGTGTTTAATAAATGTGTCCACAACCGCTGTGATTGCTGAAAGATGTAGAGGTTTCGTTAATGGTTGCGTTACATGGTTGTTGCCTCGTGGGTGTGGTCACCAGCCAGCGGGGCTCCAACTACCACTAATCCCTCACTATGGCCCCTGTTATATTGCCTCCAGTTCACAAGCATTGTAATCCAGGTTACAAAAAAAAATAAATAAATAAATAGGGAGGCATGTCTGCTTAGGTTCACGTTCATTGTACTCAGTAACAAAAGTACAATCAAGAGTACAATAGGAAAACATTACAAGTACATTATGTGCAAGAGTACATTGGGAGAACTCGCTTGCAAGAAGAGTACAATCAATCCCCATACGTACAACAGGAGTACGTCAAGTCATTGACTCAAGATTTTGAGTCAATCAATTTTTGAGTCAATCGAGATTGACTCAAGATTTTCAGTCAATCTCGACGTGTTGTTGAAGTCCTCCAGTGAGCTCGAGAAGTACCGGAATGCCCAAGTGTTTTTATTTTTTTGAGAACCACCAATGAACAAATCCACAAGGGCCGTGACGAGGTTTCGAATCTACGTTCGAGAGCATCCCAGACGCTGCCTTAATCGACTGCGCTACGACATGGTAAAAAGAATTGCAACCAGAAGTTCTATTGCAATTTACATACAATAGATACAGTTGATGCATCACGCTATTGTGATTTCTGTGTGTAAAGGACCGCTGAGTTTTGTCTGATGAGAGTGAGAGGAGCCGCGTTCTTCTGTCCTCTTAAGTGCTGAAAGAAGCATTTTTTTAAAGTGTCCCTCATTCACACTATTGCAAGGGATCGTCTTGCTGTAAGGTATTGTATTTGCTGTATATTAAATACTGTATTTTATGATTCCATTGTAGCTGGGATGAGGTGCATAACACACCTCCCGGGGGCTGAGTGGACAGCCCGGGGGGGGGGGGGGGGGAGGGTTGTAGTCCGAATAGCCCGGGTTCGATTCCCGGCGGAGGCGGTAACAAATGGGCAGTGTCTTCCACCCGGATGCCTCTGTTGTTCACGTAGCAGTAAATAGGTACCTGGGAGTCAGTCAGCTGCTACGGGCTGCTTCCTGGGGATGGGTGTGTGCGCGCGCGCGTGTTAGAGAGAAATATATGTAGTAGACATAATAGAGGAAAAATAAATATGGCTCGAAAGGCAGAGTCCAAATCAAATATAGCTCGATTCTGCAGATACAAATAGTAAATATAATAGAGAGAAAGAGAGAGAGAGAGAGAGAGAGAGAGAGAGAGAGAGAGAGAGAGAGAGAGAGAGAGAGAGAGAGAGAGAGAGAGAGATATGGGGGGAGGGGTTGAGAGGGCTGTGATACCTTTGGGCAGCTGACCGCTTTTCCTTCCGGTGTGGAGTCTTCCGGTTGGAAGGGGGACTGGAGCAGGAAGGCCCAAAAGGCCCAAAAGGTTTGATTATTTTATTGAAGCAGCGCCACTGACCTGATAGTGGCGCCCCCACAACCGTGGTGAGGGGGGGGGGGGTCGAGCCATGCTTGGGGAGGAGAGGGTGGGGGGGGGGGATGGGGAGTGTACTGTGAGAAGGTGGGGGGCATGGTTAGTCCTCACCTAGTTGTGCTTGTGAGGGTTGAGCTTTGGCTCTTTGGTCCCGCCTCTCAACTGTCAATCATGATTAGTGTGGAGTATAAATGGTTAACTCAGTATAGATACTCTACCAATACATGTTATAGATGGGTAACAGCTTCTGAGAGTACTAAATAACGTACTTTAACCACCGACATGAACAGCACCGGTACACAACGTGTACACCATACCATCTCCACCAACAGCCTAGCTATAGTCGGCAGCCTATCGTTTGTTGGTGAGTTAACTAGTAATCTATTTGCTTTCCGGCGTCAAGCTGGTGAGATACCATATGACACTGTGGCTCAGCATTTAATAAGCCTCCTCCCCCTCACTTAAGATCAAATAAATGCATACCAGTAATAAATGCTAATATGTAATGTAATAATGCTAATAAATAATGCTAATAAATAATAAATAATGCTAATAAATGTAATATGCTAATAAATGCATACCAGCTTGACTCTCACAAGTCAAGGCTGGCCTCGGGCCGGGCTTGGGGAGTAGAAGAACTCCCAGAACTCCATCAACCAGGTAATATATCTCCTGGTTGTGAGGGACAGGAAGCCGGCAGCATGTCAGTGGTGGCCCTTTCCCCCACTCCCCATTTACGCGTTTACTGGTATGAACGTGTTTATATTTTGTAATTCAGACCTTTATTTCAGCACGTGTGAGAAATTAGGTGTTTCAGCTGGGGGGGGGCTGTGTGGTCAACCAGGCTCTGAGTGGTTTGATGTCGCAGTAAACACTCAAGGGCGTGTATGCGAATTTAAGACACGACCGGTGATGGTGTTTAGCACCGGCATGTACCTTAAGGGCACCGGAGACGGTGTTTTAAGGCAGTGAACGATGTGGAGAGTAGACAACCAGGCTGGTTGGACGGGCTTCAGGTCTGTGAGGCTTAGTGCGCGCGAACCAGCCCTGATCACCGCCAAGTTCGTGAGAGTCAGTGTGGCTGAGGAATTTCACCTGCATGTATGCTCACCTGTGTCGTCAGTGTGCGTGAGTCACTGTGCTGGGGTGGACGTGCGTGTCCGTCTAGCTCTTTACGTGTTGTGATTCCTGGTTGTGGCCAATGTACAAACAATTGTGATATATGTTTAGTGGATTATACTTCAGCTCTTTGTATAACGGGTAAGTTACGAACTTCGAGGAGTTTCCATTCCTGTTTTTAAGTTTCTAAAAGTTCACGTCATCTTGGGTGGAACAAATGTATCTAGTCATGTTCAACAGGAAGGTACTGGAGGTATGTGTGTGTATAATGAAGTGTGTGCGGGTGTTGAAGGATAGTTCTTATAGTGGATAGGTAAAGGATGAGACGGGGGTGTGTTGGGGAAGGTTGTGTAACCACACGTGGTCGCCCCTATGCATGTGAAGGACGCCCCCACTTGGCCACTATGCCACTGGTGGATGAGTGTGGGTTGCCTGGTCTCCTTGACATCTCGCCAGGAGGATGATGATGATGTATCCTACTAGTGGGTGAAGACCTCGGCCCGACGTCACCCACCTCTGGTGTGCTATAGCCGCCGCAGCAAAGTCTCTCACTAGCCTTTTTATGCACACTCGACTTGAGAATGGTCCAGGACGGACCGAAACGTCGTCCCTTCACCTTCTAGTGTGTGGTCTGGTCAACATAGCCTCTTTATTTCCAACTGATGTCCATGATTCGTAATCACAGATTCGTAGGTGTTTTGTTAGTTTAAAATTGATGCAAGTGGCATATGTACACACATTCATGCCACATATACACACACAATGGACATGAATACATACACGACCATATGCATAAGGTTAAATAATCAACATGTGAAGCACACTCTTCACAACATACGCAAGGTCCATTCTAGTGTGTCCTGCACCAGCGTGAAGCCCACCCATGCTAGTCACATCCTACACCAAACACGGAACAGAGTAGAACTGGAACGAGCAAGTTGCCAGAACTGAAAGGCTCGAGCTATGAAGAAAGCCTAATGGAGTAGAATCTCTGCACGCTTGGAGATGATAGAAACACACCTAGAGTGCGAGTTAAAGAAATTGTAATTTAATCAATTTCATTTGAGAGGAGAGTAAGTCAAGGATGGGAAAAGTGTGGTGTAATGGTTAGCGTAGTCGGCTCGCAACCAATTGGACTAAAGTTCGATTCCTGGGAAGAGGGAGACTTTTGAACGTTTCCCCTGTGTACGATACCTCAACACCCGGGAGTTTGTTACCTATCGTACGTTACGGCTCGTGATCCTACAGCAGCCAAATTTTAATAAGTCTAGGGATACGACACAACTGCTGTTCTCAATAGCGAATCACCAGTATAACCCCTTAATAGGTAATGAGCACATAATTAACAATCTTCGTTTAGGACTGAAGAATAGATACACAATATGATAGCTATATATTCAAAACAGTATAATATAAAAACACAGATGGTAAAGTTAACTTATAGAATATGATTGTATAGTCATGTCACAATATATATAATAGTAATTATGGCAACAAATGAATAATAACAGACTTATCTCCCACTTGTTACTCCTCCTAGTTCCCCGAAGCTACTGAACTCTCGCTCTGTCGCCACCCACATTCACACCTCCCGTCTGCCTCATCCCAGGATGAGGGATGGAAACTAAGGACTTTTTAATATTATAAACTAATTGAACAACCACTTGTTCTCAAAACACATAAGAATGTAATTTACATATAATAGTTGCTTACAAAATATATAAGTATAATGACACCTGTTTAATTACAGTATATGAAACATTTTCTAACTAAATAAAGTGACATCTGGAACTCTCAAACTGAACAGGTCCAGCTTTCCCGTATCAATCAGGTATTAGACTTGTGCAACGGCAACCGCTCTCCTGTCCACTGACGCTGCCAAACCACACGACAATTTACCCAAAACACAATGTGTGTACATATACATGCAATGATAAAATAAAATAATATTTATTTTAAATTTATATACGTATTCTGCTAGGAGTACGTAACACTTCCACCTCCAAGAAAAAAAAAATGCAATAGATTGAAGATCAATGGCATTTTTTCAAAGTAAAATGTATGACACTTGAGATTTATGGTATTAATTACACCAAACATGTATAAGTAATAAGAACACATTTCTGGATAAAAATGAAAACACTCCAAATATAGTCTTACAGGAAACTCAGAAATTTCAGTCTTATGACTATGTTCTACATATGTGTCACTGGAGTATGCAAATTTATCTCTCCAAGGTACTATCTCATTTATTTCACTTTGTTTTAGATCATATTTCACACTCCTATCTACATTATCATTAGTAGCATGAATAGAATTGTCAATAAAGGTAGCTGCTTTCACACAGTTATCATGGCAATTTAGTTTTTCATATGTTTCTACTATTTCTCCAAGATCAGTTTCATTTTTCCATGTGATTCCTTTTCCACATGGTGAATTTTCCCAAGACAGCCTCCACTTTCCATTACTCCCTTTTTCTGGAGCTGAACTGCTTAATTGAAGCAGGCTGTATGTTGAGTTGAGTTGGGACTTCTCCTGGGTATGCTCTGACACAGACATCTGCTCATCACTCTTGATCCTCTGTGGAACACATACTCTCGCCCAATGGATACTAAAATTAGAGAAAGTAGCATTAAACCTCACAATTATGCATAAAACTTTCCCATTCATAGAACCTTCCGAAACACAAGACACCGACTTAGCAAACCTTTGACCTTCCAACCAAGAAATACAACTCAAGATTAGTGCAAAGACTACCTGATCGAACTGACTCAGATGATCCATAAGGAACACAGAAATCAATTTCCTCATAACTCTGTCATAACGATCAGTGAAAGAAAACAGGTATATGCCTAGGCACCATATCTCAATCATAACTCTCAAGACAAGTTCACACCCTCTGATGGTGAACTTGAACACAACACACACGTTCATCAACCGTCTAGTCTTCCAAGAGACTAAATAAAACATGCCGAAAACGTTACAATCCTCACCATCACTTCCCAAGTGATTTACGTCTGATGACAACCAATCAACCAAGAGGTTTAAGGGTCTTAACATCTTGAAGATGAACAGCAGATTACCTGGAAAACGCCCAAGGACAATCTGAAACCCTTCACAATGATTAACTCTAGGTAGGATAACCTTATCCTCCAACTTGAATTGCACACCTGGAGCCTCAAACATCTGCTCCCCAGTATGATTTAATCTTTCACCCACAATATGACTCTGAAAGTCAACTCCAATATGACTCTGAAAGTCATCACCACACTTAAGTGGAACATACACTTTTAACACTCGTGCATCAAAATTAACTGGATCTGAATATAGAGACACTGCTCTAGCATAACTCACCACTTCCTCAGAACTGGATGCACAACCTACTTGAGTAAACTCTCTCTGCTCAACCACAAGGCTTGACAAAGATGTCCCACAGTCCATTACTTCACAAGAAAATGGCTCCTGCAGAATAAAAGTAGATTTCAACATCCTACACACACTCTGACTCAATGTACACAATGAGAAATACTTCCTCCACATAGAATAAGAATCACAACTCCTCAACTTAGATCCAAATGCTGCTTTACCACTCCTAATGATTTTACCAAAATTTCCTCCCATGACTTCTGGAGCTGCTTGGAGTACTGTCTGCTCACAATCAACAATATCACTACCAAGCTGGGTCACATCCTCACAGACAACTGAAGAGGGAGGCTCAATGGGTCTCCATCTACTCAACAGAAGCTGATCCTCTGGCTGCTTTCCCACACTCTCCAAAACTGGATCTACAGTACAGACTGTCTCCTTGCTTCTCTCTGAAATCTTAGGGTCAGTTCTACTCAAAGCACATAAATGAAGGGAATCTGAAGCGAGCGGGCAAGTAACAGGTAGTTTGACCTCCTCCCCTATTATATCACCTTGACTAGGGTGAGGCGGGGCCTCTACAACGGACTTACTCTCGACAACTGATTCTAAACTTGGAGTGAGCGGGAATACTTCTGCCAACCCGACATCTTGTCCTAAACCATTCACTTGGCTGGAATACAGAGTCGTGGCTTTTAAGTTTCTCTCAACTCCTGGCACAACGTTCGTAGTGAGCGGGCAAGACAATGGTACATGGACATCCTTTCCCAATTTATTGGAATAAAGCAGAGTCATAGTATCAGGCTTACTCTCAACAACTAAATCGGCCACACAGGAATCTGGAACAACCACATCCCACTTCTCCACTGAAGGGGTACTGGTTACTGGAACAAATGCTTGAGTAACAACATCAGAACTGACAACTGGATTTATAAGAGTACTGACATCAGCACAGGTAGAAGGGACAAAACCATCTTCTACAACAGGTTCATTCATAGAACTAACTTCAGCACAGGCAGAATAAACATGGTCTGCAACTGGCTGTTTACACAAACGGGGATCATTCTCACCCACAACATGATTTATGGCCACATCATTACCCAATATAACATCCACACCTGGGATGGGCAACTGTGTACTAACACCCACAGTGCATAAACGTGGTGTAATGGTGGATCTGAAATTAATGTCTATTAGAGGTACAGTTTTACATCCTGCAACACTCTGAAGAACAACAAACTTTCCAGTATCTCTCTTTTCAACATCAGAAAGAATATTGGATGAAATTATGGTTTGGGAAGCACCTGTATCACGAAGAATAACCACTGGCTTCCACTTTCCATTAATACACAAGACTTCACCTGAAGACATATATGGTGAATACTGTTTCACCCAATTGGGGTTTACAGTTACATGTTTATTAGTAAGTTTATTTTGCACACCTCTGCAATAAATGAGACCAGTTGGTCGTAACTCAGGGTGCAATATAAAACATGAATGAATTCCATGGCCTTTTCTCTTACAATGGGAACAGGACCTTACAGTGGACACACTGGTAGAATCAACTGTAGGTTTAGAAATAACCTTATTATTATTTGACATTCCTGACAATGAAGTAGCAGGGTTAGGTTTTGTAAGAGGAGAGCTCATGGGAGTAACTGGAGTACTAGGACTGGATGGATTCTGATAAGGAGTTCGGTGAGCATTATAATTTACTCTACGACTAAACTTAGGTGAAGTGGCCGTAAACGGGGCCTTAGTCAGCAACTCATGCTCAT